TCCCATCGAACGACTGCCTGTTAATGATTTTCACTGCTTTGTATTTTAATCTATTCAAAAATAGTTGAAACACTGAAAAATAGTCAAAAATTTTAGGCGCCTGCGCATGAACGCTTAATTCGAAACACTAAATGGCGAATATCGTTCCGTGATTCCCAAGTTAATAGTTTACGCACCAAAATTTTCATGAGGCTTTAGGTGATACCCGAGAGCGCGGGAACGCTGAATTTGAATAGGCAAGGCTGAGCGTGGGCAGGGGGCCACTACCCTAAAATTTCAGCTTTGTAGACTTTGTGGTCCCCGACATAATAATTTACCCGCGAAAAATTTTCACGAGGCCTTAGGTAATATCCGAGAGCGCGGGAACGCTGAATTTGAATAGGCAAGGTTGAACGTGGGCAAGAGGGCACTACCCTAAAATGTCAGCTTCTTAGATTTTGTCGTTTCCGAGATAATAATTTATGCGTCAAAAATTTTGACGGGGCCGTACATGTTACTCGCAGGCAATAAATTTTCTGGGTAGCACGTGGGCGTGGGATGTCTGCAAAATTTCAGCCTTCTATCTTCCAAGATTCCCGAGACACTAATTTTACCCGAAAAACTTTTACGGACTATACTTGTAAACCGCAGGTACGGGAAGGTTGAAATTAAATTTGACGCGTCTCCCGTTGGTGAGTAACATTATACTAAAATTTCAGCCGTCTATCTTTTGTGGTTCACCGGTTGAAAGTGCGGGACAAATGTGGGACACATACACAGACAACCCCGTGACAGCATGCGTTTTCTACTGCTGTTACTAAGCACAAAACGCATAAGAATTTTATAAAACTTATTTTAACTTTATCTTCCTCCAAAGATAAGTGATTGAAAAAACATATTTTGTGGCTACTTACTTGAAAAGTTGCGCGCCACAACATCGACATACGTACAGGCCTGTTTCAAAATGCTTATCAAATTTCCCAGTGAACGGCTTCTCGGTCTCACCTTCACGTGCAACGCTGTACTCCAACGGATTCAGCACCTTCCTCCACTCCTCTGCTGTTACCTCTTTCGGATCCTTTTTACCCAGAGCATCCAGAGCACTTTTTCCTGAAATGTATTTTGAAAAATACTCGTTTTCAGATCCCGTAAAAAACTGTTTAAAAAAAGCAAGGCTGCAGTGCGTGTGATTGCTTGCTTGGTTACCAATCTTCAGTTAAGTTTGTAGCTACCAGCATCCTTATACGCGTTCCATTGATATTTTAGTTTCAGGCAATGTTTTAACCCCTGTTTCTAAGTTTTCTTTTTCAAAACATTTATAATAAATGGCCAATGCACGGGCTGCCCGTGCGAAGATGCGTTTTTTGCAGAGTTCCCCGCAGGT